CGGGGGGCAGGTGGGAGGGCTGGGCCCCCAGCCCACTGACCTCCTCTTCCTCGAAGCCGGTGAGGTCCCAGCGGTAGTTCAGCCTCATCTGCTTCCGCTTCCAGTGCTCCATGAAGGTGGCGGCTGCGGGCGGGGACAGGACCACGGTCAGGGGCCCGGACGTCCCGGCGACAGAAACGCCGTTTCCGCTTCATCCCTGCCAGCGACCCGCGTGCCACCCTGGGACCGGGAGGTCCCCTGGATCACCCGTCCAGCCCTCTCGGCCGCCAAGGGAGGTGGGGACCATCACGGTCCTATTTTGCAGAGGGGGAAACTGAGGCACCGGGGGGCTATCGAGTCCCGGCCAAGATTGCTGAGCTCGTTAGGACAGGTGGGCGGGCGGTCCAGTCAGCCGGCGCCACGGCTGTCGGGAACCCCGGCTCACAGGTGGGGGCTGAGGTCAGCAGATGAGGGTGGGTCAAGGCCATGCAAGCTTCAGGTCAGCCCCGTGGTCTGGCTGCTGAGTCGCCTGTGACTGCTGTGTCCTGCTTCCTCTTTCCAACAGACAGCACATGTTCAAGTGCTGCCTCCTCCAGGAAGCCCGCTGGTCATACCCCTCCTTTTTTTTTTTTTGAGTGGGAGTCTCACTCTGTTGCCCAGACCGGAGTGCAGCGGCCGCTCCCGGCCCCTGCACCCTCGACCTGCTGGGCTCCGGCGTTCCTTCCGCCTCAGCCTTCCAAGTAGCTGGAACCACAAGTGCACACAACCACGCCTGGCTACTTTTTTTTTTAATTTATCACAGAGATGAGGTCTCGCCAAGTTGCCCAGGCTGTTCTCGAGTGGGCTCAGGCAATCCACTCACCTTGGCCTCCCAAAGTGCTAGGATTGCAGGCTTGAGCCACCATGCCCAGCCTTCTTTCAGGATTTTAAAATAACTCTGTGAACTCCTGGAAGGTAACCCCTGAAAACTGCAGCGAACGTGATCGCAGGAGGAACTTCCGAAACCTTTCTTCCTCAGTGAAAAAGGCTGCCGGTGTCTGTGCCGCCTTCCATCGCCGTGTGAGAGGCCTCGGGGGCATTTGGTGGAGACTTGTGGCCCCTGCAGGGACTACCTGGGCTCACCATGTGTGGGGAATCTAGGATTTCCCTGCTGGAGGGGTCCAGCACTTGGGAGGCCAAGGTAGGAGGACTGTTTGGAGGCCAGGAGTTGCAGACCATTCTGGGCAACAATGAGACCCTATCGCTACAAAACAACAACAACAACAAAACTAAACTCTGTCGCCGGGCATGGTGGCTCACGCCTGTCATCCCAGCACTTTGGGAGGCCGAGGTGGGAGGATCGCTTGAGCCCAGGAGTTCGAGACCAGCCCGGGCAACACAGCGAGACTTTGTCTCTACAAAAAATCAAAAAGATGAGCCGGGCGTGGTGGCACGTGCCTGTAGACCCAGCTACTCAGGAGGCTGAGGTGGAAGGATCGCCTGAACCCAGGAGGTCGAGGCTGCAGTGAGCTGTGATTGTGCCCCTGCACTCCAGCCTGGGTGATAGAGTGAGACCTCGACTCAAAAAAAAAGAAAAAAAAAGAGATACTCCCCAGAAAAACCCATGAGAGCATTTTCAAAACAGAGGCTCAGAGGTGAAGTGCCATGTCCAAGGTCACCTGCAGGGGATAGCAAAACAGGGAACTTTGTTTTTGTTTGCGTCAGAGTCTCATTCTGTCGTCCAGGCGGGAGTGCAGTGGTACACTCACGGCTCACTGCAACCTCCTTCCTGGGCTCAGGCGATCCTTCCACCTCAGCCTCCCAAGTAGCTGGAGCTACAGGCACATGCCACCATGCCTGGCTAATTTTTTTGATTTTTTGCAGAGACGAGGTCTCGCTATGCTGCCCAGGCTGGTCTCGAACTCCTGGGCTCAAGCCATCCTCCTGCCTCGGCCTCCAAAATGCTGGGAGGACAGACGTGAGTTACTGTGCCTGGTTGATTTTCTTATTTATTGTAGAGTTGAGGTCTCACCACGTTGCCCAGGCTGGTCTCGAACCCTTGGGCTCAGGCCATCTTCTCACCTCCACCTCCCAAAGTGCTGGGATGACAGGCGTGAGCCACTATGCCCAGAGGAAGATACATTTTTTTTTTTGAGTCGGAGTCTCACTCTGTCGCCCAGACTGGAGTGCAGTGGCTGCTCCTGGCCCCCGCAGCCTCGA